CAATGCTACAAGAGAATATTATTACATTTCCCTAACAATTTCATTTTCCATTCAAAGAACAATTTAGAATCATAGAATTTTAATAGTAGAAAAGATTTTTGAAATTGTTTCCAATCCACAGATTTTATAAATGGAAAAACAGGCATAGAGAGTGGAAGTGACTTGACTAGAAGTTACGTAGAAACTTAGGGACAAGATTAGGATCTGAATTTTTTGATATCATGTTTAGCATTCTTTTGTTTCCTTCACTCATCTTAGGGCTTTGTTTTGCATTGATGGTGTTAGGAATTTAAAAGGCTTGCGTTTTTGGTAGACCTCTCCTGGATTTCCTTTTCGTTTATTCAACTAATTCTTTTTTGCTTTCACTAACTGATATATATGGTTACTGGTAATCCCGGGGAAAGAGAAATTAAAACAATTCTTAATTTTTTCCCTTGGTGTTTTTCTACTTTTTCTAAACATATGATATATTTGATATTAGAAAAAATAATGCTAGTGAAAAAAGAATGTATTCATCTATTATTCATAAGTAAAAATAAATACTTTTGTCCTAGAAAATAAAACCAAAGACAAATGTTTGTTCACCTGTAACTTTGTTTATAATATGAAACACAAATAGCTTAAATATTCGGTAGTAATATAAGCTAATTTGAACTTTATAATATAAATATTATATATACATATCATATAAATAATAAATGTTTTAGTTATAAATACTACCTTTGTTTCTCCTTTACTCCTTGTTCCAGTAAATGGAATCACCTTATACTCAAAGCCCAAAAACCTGGGACTCATCTTTAATTTTTCCTACTTTCTCACCTCTGCAACACTAAAACCTCTTGATTCAACTTTCATAATAACTCTTGAATCCATCAATCTCTACCTGTCTCCATGGTCACTACATTAATCCATCATCTCCACCATTGTCTCTAACTCAGATTCCTGTAACTGCTTTCTAATTGGTGTCCCTGCCTCCTGCATCCATTTGTCACACTGAAGCAGAACTACTTTTCCTACAAACAAAATTAATCATTTTCATTCTTTGAGCAATGTTGCTAGACCTTATACATGTGTTATGGATGAGCTGTGTAAAAGCTGTGTAAAACATAGTTCCCACTCTCCAGATGGCTTGTTACTTTTTAAACCACTTTAATATTTCCCATAGTTCAAGCTCATAAATTTGAACCACAACCTTTGTGATCTGGTATCTGCAACCTCTCCAGACTCATCTTCAGACACATACCCTATTTTCCCCTGAACTCTCCTCTTTTACCAGTCATAATTTTGTTGGTTATGCTTTTAAAATAAGACTTTCATATTTGGGCTGGGCATGTTGCTCACACCTATAACCCCAGCATTTTGGGGAGGCCAAGGCAAGAGGATCATCTGAGCCCAGGAGTTTGAGACCAGCCTAGGCAACATGGTGAGACCCTGTCTCTCTATATAATTTAAAAAATAAAAAATTTAAACAGACCTTCATATTCATACTCAGATTTGAAAATCTCTCCCCTTTAAACATACATTCAATTCAATTTTGTCCCTTTAAACAAATAAACAGTCAGCCAACATCTAGAATCAAGACCTTTTTTCTGAGCTACAGATTTGTACTTTTAGTACAAAAATGCCTGATTGGCATTTCCGCTTGGCTATATCACATGTCCCTCAGACTCAAAATGTTGAAAATTGTATTTTTTTTTTTTTTTTTGAGACGGAGTCTCACCCTGTCACCCAGGCTGGAGTGCGGTAGCCCAATCTCGGCTCACTGCAACCTCTGCTCCCCCAGGTTCAAGCAGTTCTCCTGCCTCAGCCTCCCGCGTAGCTGTGATTACAGGCACCTGCCACTGTACCTGGCTAATTTTTGTATTTTTAGTAGAGACAGGGTCTCACCATGTTGGCCAGACTGGTCTTGAACTCCTGATCTCATGATCCACCCACTTGGACCTCCCAAAGTGCTGGGATTTGAGGTGTGAGCCACCATGCCTGGCCGGTGTTTTCATAATCTCTGTAAACAGTTACCATCCACTGAACTGTTCAGGCAAAAAACCTGGAGCCATCCTTTAGAATTGTTTCTCCCTCACCTCTATATTAAATTGATCACAGGTACCAGACAACTAGAGATAGTGCCTATACTCTAGAGCCTGCTGAAATTATTCAAACTAGCCAATCCTAAACCTCTTTACCCTGCTTTGCCTTGCCTTTCCCATGGAAACCATAATAAAGGCTCTCACCCATGCTTTTCCCTTGTTTCTTCTGCCTCCTGACCTCCCCAGTCCTTCCCTGTGTGATTATGTGTGACATGGCCTGGTTTACCCCTCATCTTGGGAAGTGTGAATAACAGACTGTCTTTTCAATGGCAATTGTCTCTTCATCTATTGGCCACACCATACCTGAATAATAATAAAACCTACATTTTAAAACACCATGACCAAGTTTAAACCTTTTCAATGGCTTACCATTGCTTTTCAGATGAAATTAGGAATTCCTTTCTATCTAAAATATTTTGCCTAATCTGTTTGCTCCTTATCTCTTCACTCTCATTTTATATGTATTCTCCCCCTCACTAAGTAAGTTTCAACACTGTTGGGTTTTCAGTTCTTCACATTTTGTTCTTACCACAGGACCTTTGCATGTGCTGTTTCCTCTACTTCAGCTTCTCCTCTTCCCTCAGTCCTGCTTTATCTTAATCACTTCTGCACATTTTTCAGGTTTTATTTTATGTGTCACTTCTTCAGTGAAGGTTTCCATGATTCCCTAAGTTAGGACGCCTATTTTATGATTGTGGTATTCTGTGCTTATCCTTTATAGCACTTATAATTATAAGTAAATATTTATTTGTGCAATTAATTGCTTAATGTCTTTCTCTACTGCAAGATTATAAAGCAATATAAGGCTAAGGACCATTCTGTCTTCAGCATAGCATAATGCCAGATACCTAGTAAGTGCTTAATAAATATTTGTTGACTCTCTGAATAAAAGAATGATAACAACTGTTTCAGCTACCTTTCATAGGCTGTTTAGATAAGCCTATGAGATAATACAGAGAAAGTAGATCTTTTAATATCCTACCCTCTAAATATATAAATAGAAAACCTGCAAAACCGGCCCTTTAGTTACCTCAGTAAATTCTGGAAATGTCAAATGGCTATAGTAATATTCTGCTAACACATGAAAACTGAAAAATAAGGAAGACAAAAGACTAATATTCTGCATATTATAAAATTTGTGGTAGATTTAGCTACAGTATACCATGATTCTCTGCCAGCTGTTTTGAATGTTTAAAAGTGATTCAAGGGAAAGGTTTTGGAGGCAACATAATAGAGGGGTATGCTTTGGAGTCCGCTGAAACTCTGGCTCTGCTACTAATTACCTCTGTGATCTTGGACAAGTTACTGAAACTATATCAACTTCAGTGTTCTCATCTTGAAATGGAGATAATAATAGCACCTACCTTAGAACTGTAAAAATTAAATGAGATAATGACTAAAAACAGTTAACTTTAAGACCTTGTATAAATGCTGTTATTTTCATTATTCTAATAATTTACCAGAATACATCATTCACTCTACATAAGGTCTCTTCCTACTTCCTAGAATGTCTTTCTCCACTACCCCATTTCATTTCATTCCTGTCATCACCTTCTCTGGCTTCTGTGTGCCCCTTTTGTTGGAGTCCTTACTCTATATTCAATCATGCTTTCATTCCTTAACCTCTAATTAGAATGTGAACTCCTTGAGGGCAGTGACTGTGTCTTTTAATTGTATCCTCAGCTCTTAACACACTACATGGCATGTAGTGGATGTTCTATTAAAGAATTGATTAAATGTGTGTCTAGTGATGAATAGACTCTGTAAGATTGGTATCTACAATACCTAGCTTAGTGTCCAGCCTGCAGTTTAACGTATAAGGACTGTAATTATTATTACTGTTATTATCATTGCTAATAATAATAAATGTTATATTTAAGAGGTATACTTTACTTGGATTAATAAAATTATTTCCCTGGCCATTAATATCTCTTTTTATGTATGTTAGTGGACACTTTTCCATTTAACATGATATAAGAAGGATGGAGATGCAAAAGAATACCGATAGGACCTACGGACCTGTAGATGATGGATATCATTTTTTTCTGGAGGTGCAGTATCATAGTTTATAATACCAGATGATACGAGCAGCACGATGACAAGTCTGCCCTTCAGGACTAGTGAGTCAGGCACCCTGCTTAGGTTAAGACACTCGGATGATAACCTTGTTTGTTCAAAAACAGTAAACTATATACACTCAGAGTAAATTTGATGATAAATATGTAAAAAGAATTAGTAAAAGAAATGAAATAAGAGCTGAAACCTTTTTTTTTTTTTTTTTTTTGGAGACAGGATCTTGCTCTGTTGCCCAGGCTGGAGTGCAGTGATGCAATCACAGCTCACTGCAGCCTCAGCCACTCAGGCTCAAGTGATCTTTTCACCTCAGCTTCCCAAGTAGCTGGGACTACAGACACGTGCCACCATGCCCTGCTGATTTTTTTTTTTTTTAAAGTTTTTGTAGAGACACAATATCACTGTGTTTATCAAACTCCTAAGTTCAAGTGATCCTCCAACCTTGGCCTTCCAGAGTGCTGGATTATAGGTGTGAGCCTCTGTGCCTGGCATAGTGGGGGGTGGGGAGCTGGGGAGAGATAGCAAGGGGAGAAATGCCAGATGTAGGTGATGGGGAGGAAGGCAGCAAATCACACTGCCACGTGTGTACCTATGCAACAATTTTGCATGTTCTTCAAATGTACCCCAAAACCTAAAATGCAATAAAATAAATGGGGGGAAAAATAAATAAATAAATAAAATAAATAAAAATAAAAATAAAAATTATAAGTATATGAGTATAAATAAATATGAAAGAAGTGATAAAAAAAGAAAATCTTCATCATTTTAATATTTTATTTTGATTTGCATAATGATTGCTACTCCATGATATTCAAGCCTGTTATCTATCTTTGTTTCTTATAGCTATTGGATGAACTCCCAATGATATACAGCTGTTGCATATTTGTGTACTGCATGTAAGTAGTTTTAAAGTTTCATTGTTTGATATATTTTAAAATTTATATTCACCTCATAGTAGATTAATATAACTAACACATTTCTATTACTAGGAGATTGTAATAATGTAGATTATACCTTTTATGATGTCATTGTAGAGTATAATTTCTGGGAAGTTATAATAATGTTATTAACTTTTGTGATCTCAAAACCCTGTAGCCAATTTAGATAGAATCTAAATAACTTAAATTGTGTAAATTGCCTTTCCCAAGTAAATAATGTGTACAAATTTAAAGATTTTCATATTGTGCCATAAAAGTTTTCAGATAAAGTTTCTGTATTCTACAATATAGTTTAACAAGAAGCTTACCACAAAAGTGAGGTACACTTCTAGTTGTATAGTGATTGTGTCAACTTAATCTCCTTTTTGTTTGAAATTATCTTTTAAATAGATACTTGTTTTCTTATTCCAAGGTAGACTAAATGCTCTCAAGAATATACTTGAGAGGCCAGGCGTGGTGGCTCACGCCTGTAGTCCAAGCACTTTGGAGGCCAAGGCAGGCAGATCACCTGAGGTCGGGAGTTCAAGACCAGCCTGACCAACATGCTGAAACCCCATCTTTAAAAAAAAAAAAAAAGAATATACTTGAGAATATACTTGATTGGCTATTTACAAATATGGAAACAGTTTACAGACCATTCCCAATCCAAAGTTTTCTTACTGTATTAACTCTTACTTTATTATCAAGTTAATTTGCATTTCCTGAATGTCAGGAAAAACAATCTTGAAAGATAAAAATGATTATGACAGTAACATTAATAAATCCTAATATTTATCTACTTTGTACTGTGCTAGGCAGTGTACAATGCCATCTCTAATTCTCAACAATTATGCAAGATAAATGGATATTGTCCCCATTTTATAGACAAGGGAGTAAAGCAAAGAGAGATGTAGTAACTTGTCTATGGACAATAACAGAGCTTGATTTAAAAGCATACTGGCCAGGCCATTGTCCAGGTAAACAGTCTCTAAGGAACACTAAAATATCCCTGGAAATATATCATGATGGAGAAAATTACAGTGATCACAACTCCTCTTAAGGAGAGGTTGGAAGAACACTTTGAATAGGCTGCCTGGGTATGTGGTAGAAGTACAGAAGTGGGACCCTTCCTGCAGTGCATGATCAAATAATGTGCCTTCTAAGGAGGGAAGGTGAGGTTAGCTATAGGCCTTCTATCTGAGTGAGCTAGGGTATGCAGGTTTGGGCTCTAGCTAAGTCACTGGGAACATTAGAGGAAAGCCTCCTTCACCCATCACCCTGCAGCATAAGCCTTCTCTAAATGTTGGACAAGTATATTAAGAATATATGTTTAGAGGGGCAACAAATTACTAGCTTATGTAGGGACCTGCATACCTGAGTCAGGCCCTAGTAACAAGGCTTTTGATGGTAGCAGCAGCCAAGCTGAAGCAGCTACTGCAAAGATGCCAGCTGTAGCAGGGGAGGCAAAGCTGGCAGAGTCCAGGAACAGGTGGGAACTCCATCTACTACTGAGTTGGTGGGGCAGCAGTCCCACACTCCCAGGCATAGCTACAGCTACCCAGCCACAGCTCTGGACCTGGGCATCCTTGTACTCTTGGAGGTCCAGGAAGCCCCTTACGCTTGCAGGCTTGAAAGTACCTGCTCCCACTGCTTGGCCTCTTTCCACTCCCAATGCCCACTCCAGGGCACAGCAAAGCTGTGACTGAGCCCAGGTGCTGTAGCAACCTGGCCAGGTGTGCATGTGCTTGGGGTGGTTCCGACATGCCAGCCCCCTGCAACCTCAGCCCCCTCTGGACTTTGGGCACTGACTAGCATGAGAGGGAGGCTGAGGGGGTACTGAGGTCAGCTTGGTATGGGCCTGCAGGCACTTCTCAGCAAGAATAGCCTGGGCACCATGGGCCATATGTTGATGGCAGCAGGAGGCAGACAGGTTCCTGGGCAAAAAGGGGCAGGTCCCTAGTGAAGCCCCACGTTCAAGCTGGGTACAGCATGACGCCTGAGACCCAGGTTGTCAGTTCTGGGTGGAGTTAGTGGCCCAGAGTGAGAATTTATGGTGCTTTTTCCAAACCCTGCCATGGCCACCCTGCCATGGATCAGTCAGCACTCACTTCCTCCGTTCTAAGCCCATAAAAACCCCAGACCCAGGCAGACTCACACAGATGACCAGAGGACCTACCTCAAATAGGAGCTACACACTCTGGGTCTCCTCTCCACTGAGAGCTGAACATTTGTTGGGATGACCTGCCTGCAGATAGGTCATCCCTATGTACTTCAGGTCTCCCACGAGCTCTTCTGTTACTCATAAAGCTCCTTTCTGACACCCTTCAGTTGTCCACATACCTCATTCTTCCTGGATGCAGGACAAGAACTTAGGACATGCCAAATGGTGGGCTGAAGGAGCTGTAACACAAACAGGGCTGAAACATACCCCTCTTCCCTTCTTGCCACATTGCAGGTGACAAGAAGGAGAGAAGAGCTGTGGCCCTTCAGGGACCCCAGACCTAGGGATTCCACAAGACAGGGCTGTGACACCCTTTTTGGTGCTCTTTGGTTTCTGGCATCTCCAGGTTTCCAGGTGCCACTACATTCCCCTTGTCCAGATATGGGTGCCCACAGTGGAAGATGCTTATGGTGTATCTGATCAAACCACAGGGTTGCATGGAGCCAGTGCCTGTGCTGGCTTCTGGAACCGCCCACCCTGCTACAACAGCCAGTGTGCCTGGCTGGGCATGGTGGCCAGACCCGAAGCTTGCTTGTTCATGCACTCCTGACCGTTCCACACCTGGCTTTCCGTTGGCAGGCATGGGATCCAGGCTGGTAGCATGAGCCAAATGCAGCCTGCCAGGTCAAGTGGCTGGAATGAACCCAGTGGGCCGGAACAGAACTCAGGCAAAAGTGCCATCAGCCACAGAGGTTTCCAGCTAGAAAAGCAACACCCTAAGGATCCTGAGACACTTTTAAGTGGTGGAGCCACAATTTGAAGCAATTCTTATCAGACTTGAACTTCATGATACCACTCACAAAGTTAATAGTACACACTAAAGTAATTGAAAGTTTTTTATCTTTTATTTTTAGTGACTTATAACCACTATATCACTGTTGGTTCTTACCTTTACTAAGGCTGATCTTTAGCCAGAAACAATAAAAGTAAGAATGCCCATCTAGCTGCTATGATTTATATGGTGTCAAGCCCTATTTCAAAGTTAGGTAAGAAGATGTAGAATAGCAGCCTGGCCAACGTGGTGAAAACCCATGACTACTAAAAATACAAAAAATTAATCAGGCGTGGTGATGTGTGCCTGTAGTCCCAGCTCCTCAAGAGACTGAGGTTGAACCCAGGAGGTGGAGGCTACAGTAAGTTGAGATGGCACCACTACACTCCAGCCTGGGTGACAAAGTGAGACCCTGTCTCAAAAAAGAAAAAAAGATGTAGAATGGGGATCAGCAAACTTTTTCTGTAAAGTTCCAGATGGTAAATATTTTAGGCTTTATGGGACAGGAGTCTCTGTTGCAACTCTTGAACTCTGCTGTTGTAGCTTGGAAGCTGCCATAGATAATATGTAAATAAATGAATGTCACTATGTTCCAGTAAAATGTTATTTTAAAAAACAGGTTTAGGCTGGCCACGGTGGCTCACGCCTATAATCCCAGCACCTTGGGAGGCCTAGGCAGGTGGATCACCTGAGGTCAGGAGTTCAAGACCAGCCTGGCCAACATGATGAAACCCTGTCTCTACTAAAAATATAAAAATTAGGCCGGGCGCAGTGGCTCACACCTGTAATCCCAGCACTTTGGGAAGCTGAGGCGGGTGGATCGCCTGAGGTCGGGAGTTCTAGACCAGCCTGACCAACATGGAGAAACCCTGTCTCTAGTAAAAAATACAAAATTAGGCAGGCATGGTGGCAGATGCTTGTAATTCCAGTTACTCAGGAGGCTGAGACAGGAGAATTGCTTGAACCCAGGAGGCAGAGGTTGTGATGAACCAACATTGCGCCATCGCACTCCAGCCTGGGCAACAAGAGCAAAACTCCATCTCAAAAAACAAAAATTAGCTGGGCACAGTGGTGCATGCCTGTAATCTCAGCTACTAGGGAGGCTAAGGCAGAAGAATCACTTGAGCCTGGGAGGCAGAGGTTGCAGTGAGCCAATGTTGCATCATTGTACTCCCACCGGGATGAGAGTACAATCTCCAAAAAAAAAAAAAAAAACAGGTTTAGCTGGACACAGTGGCTATGCATGTAATCCCAACACTTTGGCAGCCCAAGGCGGGAGGATCACTTTAGCCCAGGAGTTCAAGATAAGCCTGGGCAACACAGGGAGACCTCATCTCTACAAAAATTAAAAAATTAGCCAGGCATGGTAGTGCATGCCTGTGGGTCCCAGCTACTTGGGAGACTGAGGTGGGAGAATCACTTGGGTCCAGGAGGCTGAGGCTGCCTGATTGTGCAATGATGCTCCCAGGATTGTGCTACTGCACTTCAGCCTGGGCAACAGAGGAACACCCTGTCTCAAGAAAAACAACAAACAAAAACAAACTAGCAAGAAACAGGCTCAGGCCAAGAGATTGGCTCTTGAGCCATAGTTTGTCACCTTGATCTAAAAAAATACTTTGAGGTAAGCTCCTTTTGATAACTTTTTTTTTTTTTTGAGATGGAGTTTCACTCTGCTGCCCAGGCTGGAGTGCAGTGGCGCGATCTCAGCTCACTGTAACCTCTGCCTTCCAGGTTCAAGCGATTCTCCTGCCTCAGCCTCCCGAGTAGCTGGCATTACAGGTGTGCACCACCACACCCAGCTAATTTTTGTATTTTTAGTAGAGACGGGGTTTCACCATGTTGGCCATGCTGTTATTGAACTGACCTCAGGTGATCTGCCTGCCTCGGCCTCCCAAAGTGCTGGGATTACAGGCGTGAACCACCATGACTGGCAATAACATATTTTAAAAATTATTCTGATGTTTAGATATCTTTAGGAGAAGATAT